CAGTTTGTTGTGGAGCTCGACTTTTTGAGGCAGTGGGAGGTTTGGAGAAGTTCCACAGGGAAGAAGAACGTCCAAGATCTGCTGTTTCTGCTTTTATGACCAAAGACCCTCTACACACAGTCCCTCTACACACAGACACACACAGTCTACACACAGACCCTCTACAGACAGTCCCTCTTCACACAGACCCTCTGGAGAACCTCACACAGTCCCTCTACACACAGTCCCTCTACACACAGACCCTCTGGAGAACCTCACACAGTCCCTCTTCACACAGACCCTCTACACACAGTCCCTCTTCACACAGACCCTCTGGAGAACCTCACACAGACCCTCTACACACAGTCCTCTTCACACAGACCCTCTACACACAGTCCCTCTTCACACAGACCCTCTGGAGAACCTCACACAGTCCCTCTTCACACAGACCCTCTACACACAGTCCCTCTTCACACAGACCCTCTGGAGAACCTCACACAGTCCCTCTTCACACAGACCCTCTACCTCACACAGTCCCTCTTCACACAGACCCTCTACACACACCCTCTTCACACAGACCCTCTACACACAGACCCTCTACACACAGACACACACCCTCTTCACACAGACCCTCTACACACAGACCCTCTACACACAGACCCTCTACACACAGTTCCTCTACACACAGAGCCTCTTCACACAGTTCCTCTACACACAGACCCTCTTCACACAGACCCTCTTCACACAAGACCCTCTACACACAGTCCCTCTTCACACAGACCCTCTACACACAGTTCCTCTACACACAGACCCTCTACACACATTTCCTCTACACACAGACCCTCTTCACACAGACCCTCTTCACACAGACCCTCTACACACCCCTCTACACAGATCCCTCTCTCACACAGACCCTCTACACACAGACCCTCTACACACAGACCCCTCTTCACACACAGACCCTCCTCTTCACACACAGACCCTCTTCACACAGACCCTCTACACAGTCCCTCTTCACACATCACACAGACCCTCTACACACAGACCCTCTACACACAGTCCCTCTACACAGCCCTCGACCCTCTACACACAGACCCTCTGGAGAACCTCACACAGTCCCTCTTCACACAGACCCTCTACACACAGTCCCTCTTCACACAGACCCTCTGGAGAACCTCACACAGTCCCTCTTCACACAGACCCTCTACACACACCCTCTTCACACAGACCCTCTACACACAGACCCTCTACACACAGTCCCTCTTCACACAGACCCTCTACACACAGACCCTCTACACAGTCTCACACAGACCTCTACACACAGTCCCTCTTCACACAGACCCTCTACACACAGACCCTCTTCACACAGACCCTCACAGACACCCTCTTCACACACAGTCCACTCTACACACAGACCCTCTTCACACACACACCTCTCTTCACACAGACCCTCTTCACACAGTCCCTCTAGACCCTCTACACACAGACCCTCTACACACAGACCTCTACACACAGTTCCTCTACACACAGACCCTCTTCACACAGACCCTTTCACCTCTACACACAGACCCTCTTCACACAGACCCTCTTCACACAGACCCTCTACACACAGACCTCTACACACAGACCCTCTTCACACAGTCCTCTTCACACAGACCCTCTTCACACAGACCCTCTACACTCTTACACACAGACCCTCTTCACACAGACCCTCTTCACACAGACCCTCTACACACCCCTCTACACACACCTCTTCACACAGACCCTCTCACACAGTCCCTCTACACAGTCCCTCTTACCCTCTACACACAGACCCTCTACAGACCCTCTTCACACAGACCCTCTACACAGACACACAGACCCTCTTCACACAGACCCTCTTCACACAGACCCTCTACACACAGACCCTCTACACACAGACCCTCTTCACACAGACCCTCTTCACACAGACCCTCTTCACACAGACCCTCTACACACAGACCCTCTTCACACAGACCCTCTTCACACAGACCCTCTTCACACAGACCCTCTTCACACAGACCCTCTTCACACAGACCCTCTTCACACAGACCCTCTTCACACAGTCCCTCTTCACACACCCTCTACACACAGACCCTCTTCACACAGACCCTCTTCACACAGACCCTCTTCACACAGACCCTCTCACACAGACCCTCTTCACACAGACCCTCTCACACAGTCACACAGACCCTCTTCACACACAGACCCTCTTCACACAGACCCTCTTCACACAGACCCTCTTCACACAGACCCTCTTCACACAGACCCTCTACACACAGACCCTCTTCACACAGACCCTCTACACACAGACCCTCTACACACAGACCCTCTACACACAGACCCTCTTCACACAGACCCTCTTCACACAGTCCTGGGTGTTTGTTCCTTGTTCCCACAAACTTCAGAGGAACATTTGAGACGTTCTGAGAAAACAGCGTGAAATGAATCTGTCACAGACACCGACCAATCAGGAGCCAGGATCAGGGCAGGACCGACCAATCAGTTGCTCCGCTCTCGTCTTTATAATCCCGGTTTGAGTCCTGGACCAGGACTTTGTGGAGTCCAGACCGAACATGGGGTAAGATCTGATCATCTGTTTAGAACCATGGTTTAGTCCTGGTTTAGTCCTGGTTTAGACCTGGTGTAGTCCTGGTTTAGTCCTGGTTTAGTCCTGGTTTAGTCCTGGTTTAGTCCTGGTTTAGACCTGGTGTAGTCCTGGTTTAGTCCTGGTTTAGTCCTGGTTCAGTCCTCGTTAGTCCTGGTTTAGTCCTGGTTTAGACCTGGTGTAGTCCTGGTTTAGTCCTGGTTTAGTCCTGGTTTAGTCCTGGTTTAGACCTGGTTCAGTCCTGGTTCAGTCCTGGTTTAGTCCTGGTTCAGTCCTGGTTAGTCCTGGTTTAGTCCTGGTTTAGACTTGGTTCAGTCCTGGTTCAGTCCTTTTTTAGTCCTGGTTTAGTCCTGGTTTAGTCCTGGTTTAGACCTGGTTTAGTCCTGGTTTAGTCCTGGTTTCGTCCTGGTTTAGTCCTAGTTTAGACCTGGCTTGGTCCTGGTTTAGTTCTGACTTGGTCCTGGCTCTAAACTCTCTCCTCTGCTCCTTGCCGTGATGATGTCACAGTGCCGTGCTCTGATTGGGCGATTTCACGGCGGTTTGGAGTGAACAGGACTCAGACTGTGACACAGGAGCAGCTGACCCCCTCATGCCCAAAACCAGGACTAAACCAGGACTAAACTCGGTCCTGGTCTTGTCCAGGTCTAGCGTTGGGTCAGACCTGGTTCAGACCTGGTTTTAATCCAGTTTTTCCTGCTGTAGATTTGGTGAATCTGAATTTGAACAGAAGATGGAGGTGAGTTTGATCCGGTTTTAGACCCTGTTTAGTCTGGTTGAGACTTGGTTTTAGTCTTGGTTTAGATCTAGTTACAATCCTGTTTTAGATCTGCTTTAGACCAGTTTAAGATCTACTTTAGACCCATTTTAGACCCGTTTTAGACCTGTTTTAGACCCATTTTAGACCCATTTTAGACCCATTTTAGACCTGTTTTAGACCCATTTTAGACCCATTTTAGACCCATTTTAGACCTGTTTTAGACTTGTTTTAGACCTGTTTAATCTTGATCTTAGTCCCGTTCCTGGTTCGGTTCTCACTGTGGCTTTGCATCTTGTTTAGTGTTTCAGACTACTTACTGTCTGGGTTTAGTCCTGTTCTAGTTCTGGTCTAGTCCGTTTCTAGTCCTGGTTCTAGTCCTGGTTCTAGTCCTGTTCTAGTCCTGGTTCTAGTCCTGTTCTAGTCCTGGTTCTAGTCCTGTTCTAGTCCTGGTTTGGTTTACAGTCCAGTGTGGTTCTGCGCGTGACCCAGATGCCTCTCGTCCAATCGGTGCTGCAGTCCTTGAGCTCCGCCTACTCTCAGGTAAGCCCCGCCCCCCGTGTGGTGATACTGTTAGCCCCGCCCCCTCTGTGTGGTTGCCGTGGTGTTGCTGTGATTGACATTGGGCCGGTCGTCCTCAGGTGAAGGGGCGTCACCCGCTGCTGCAGATCATGGGGGGCGTGGCCGAGGTGGGCGTGGTCAGCGTGTCACAGGCGGCACTCAGACAAGCCACGCCCCTCCTCACCAGCCTCCAGCCTCAGAGTGAGTACTACTGTGAAGTACTATGAAGTACTATGAAGTACTGTGAAGTACTATGAAGTACTATGAAGTATTATGAAGTATTATGAAGTACTATGAAGTACTGTGAAGTACTATGAAGTACTATGAAGTATTATGAAGTATTATGAAGTATTATGAAGTACTATGAAGTATTGTGAAGTACTATGAAGTACTATGAAGTATTATGAAGTATTATGAAGTATTATGAAGTACTGTGAAGTACTATGAAGTACTATGAAGTATTATGAAGTACTATGAAGTACAATCTCAGCGTCGTGGGGCTCCACACTCTGTAAATGTTACGTCCATTTTTCCCACAGACTTTTGGAAAATTCAGATATTAAGAGTTTAAAGACGTCACCACGGCGATGTGCTAACGGCTACATGCTAACAGCTACATGCTAACGGCTACATGCTAACGGCTACATGCTAACGGCTACGCTACGGCTACGCTAACGCTAACGCTACATGCTAACGGCTACATGCTAACGGCTACATGCTAACGGCTACATGCTAACGGCTACATGCTAACGGCTACATGCTAACGGCTACATGCTAACGGCTATGCTAACAGCTACGTGCTAATAGCTACATGCTAACTCGTCCATAAATGTTTTAAATTTAATCAAAGTTTGTGTGAAATGTTTTCATGACTCGGTGCTTTATAAAGATTCAGACCAGGACTAAACCTGGACTAACCCAGGACTAAATTAGGACTGAACCAGGACTACAGAAGTCCAGGTGTCGCGCTCGCTGCTCCACAGAGCTGATTCATATTCTCACTTTTATTCTTTATTTGTTTTTTGTCTGTGGGAAAAAATGATGAGAAATTTATGTCCAGAAGCAGAAGGCTCCAGTACTACATGTGAAGTACTGCGTAGTACTGTGTAGTACTGTGTAGTACTGTGTAGTACTGTGAAGTACTGCGTAGTACTGTGTAGTACTGCGTAGTACTGTGTAGTACTGTGTAGTACTGTGTGGTACTGTGAAGTACTGCGTAGTACTGCGTAGTACTGCGTAGTACTGTGTAGTACTGTGTGGTACTGTGAAGTACTGCGTAGTACTGTGTAGTACTGTGTGGTACTGTGTGGTACTGTGAAGTACTGTGTAGTACTGTGTAGTACTGTGTGGTACTGTGTGGTACTGAGTAGTACTGTGTGGTACTGTGTGGTACTGTGAAGTACTGTGTGGTACTGCATAGGGTAAATGTACTGCAGTACTTGTACTGTGTCTGTGTCTGTGTCTGTGCAGTTGGAGTCGTCAGTTCTTTGGCTCTTCAGGGTTTAGATCGACTCGAACAGAACTTCCCCGTCCTCCAACAGACCACAGACCAGGTGAGACCACAGACCACAGACCACAGACCAGGTCAGACCACAGACCACAGACCAGGTGAGACCACAGACCAGGTGAGACCACAGACCAGGTGAGACCACAGACCAGGTGAGACCACAGACCAGGTGAGACCACAGACCACAGACCAGGTGAGACCACAGACCACAGACCACAGACCAGGTGAGACCACAGACCAGGTGAGACCACAGACCACAGACCAGGTGAGACCACAGACCACAGACCACAGACCAGGTGAGACCACAGACCAGACCAGGTGAGACCACAGACCACAGACCACAGACCAGGTGAGACCACAGACCACAGACCAGGTGAGACCACAGACCACAGACCACAGACCAGGTGAGACCAAGACCACAGACCAGGTGAGACCACAGACCACAGACCAGGTGAGACCACAGACCACAGACCAGGTGAGACCACAGACCAGGTGAGACCACAGACCACAGACCAGGTGAGACCACAGACCACAGACCACAGACCAGTGAGACCACAGACCACAGACCAGGTGAGACCACAGACCAGGTGAGACCACAGACCACAGACCAGGTGAGACCACAGACCACAGACCAGGTGAGACCACAGACCACAGACCAGTGAGACCACAGACCACAGACCAGGTGAGACCACAGACCAGGTGAGACCACAGACCAGACCACAGACCAAAGACCACAGACCAGGTGAGACCACAGACCACAGACCAAAGACCACAGACCAGGTGAGACCACAGACCACAGACCAGGTGAGACCACAGACCACAGACCAAAGACCACAGACCAGGTGAGACCACAGACCAGGTGAGACCACAGACCACAGACCACAGACCAGGTGAGACCACAGACCACAGACCAGGTGAGACCACAGACCACAGACCAGGTGAGACCACAGACCAGGTGAGACCACAGACCACAGACCAGGTGAGACCACAGACCACAGACCAGGTGAGACCACAGACCAGGTGAGACCACAGACCACAGACCAGGTGAGACCACAGACCACAGACCAGGTGAGACCACAGACCACAGACCACAGACCACCAGACCAGTGAGACCACAGACCACAGACCAGGTGAGACCACAGACCAGGTGAGACCACAGACCACAGACCAGGTGAGACCACAGACCACAGACCACACAGACCACAGACCAGACTGAGACCACAGACCAGGTGAGACCACAGACCAGGTGAGACCACAGACCACAGACCACAGACCAGGTGAGACCACAGACCAGGTGAGACCACAGACCACAGACCAGGTGAGACCACAGACCACAGACCAGGTGAGACCACAGACCAGGTGAGACCACAGACCACAGACCAGGTGAGACCACAGTGAGACCACAGACCAGGTGAGACCACAGACCACTGACCAGGTGAGACCACAGACCACAGACCAGGTGAGACCACAGACCAGGTGAGACCACAGACCACAGACCACAGACCAGGTGAGACCACAGACCAGGTGAGACCACAGACCAGACCACAGACCAAAGACCACAGACCAGGTGAGACCACAGACCACAGACCACAGACCAAAGACCACAGACCAGGTGAGACCACAGACCAGGTGAGACCACAGACCACAGACCACAGACCCAGTTAGACCAGGTGAGACCACAGACCACAGACCACAGACCAGGTGAGACCACAGACCACAGACCACAGACCAGGTGAGACCACAGACCAGGTGAGACCACAGACCACAGACCACAGACCAGGTGAGACCACAGACCACAGACCACAGACCAGGTGAGACCACAGACCAGGTGAGACCACAGACCACAGACCACAGACCAGGTGAGACCACAGACCAGGTGAGACCACAGACCAGGTGAGACCACAGACCACAGACCACAGACCACAGACCAGTGAGACCACAGACCACAGACCAGACCAGTGAGACCACAGACCACAGACCACAGACCAGGTGAGACCACAGACCAGGTGAGACCACAGACCCACAGACCAGGTGAGACCACAGACCACAGACCAGGTGAGACCACAGACCAGGTGAGACCACAGACCAGAGACCAGGTGAGACCACAGACCACAGACCAGGTGAGATCACAGACCAGGTGAGACCACAGACCACAGACCACAGACCAGGTGAGACCACAGACCACAGACCAGGTGAGACCACAGACCAGGTGAGACCACAGACCACAGACCAGGTGAGACCACAGACCACAGACCACAGACCAGGTGAGACCACAGACCAGGTGAGACCACAGACCACAGACCAGGTGAGACCACAGACCACAGACCAGGTGAGACCACAGACCACAGACCAGGTGAGACCACAGACCAGGTGAGACCACAGACCAGGTGAGACCACAGACCACAGACCAGGTGAGACCACAGACCACAGACCAGGTGACCACAGACCAGGTGAGACCACAGACCACAGACCAGGTGAGACCACAGACCACAGACCAGGTGAGACCACAGACCAGGTGAGACCACAGACCACAGACCAGGACCGACCAGGTGAGACCACAGACCAGGTGAGACCACAGACAGACAGAGACCACAGACCAGGAGACCACAGACCAGGTGAGACCACAGACCAAAGACCACAGACCAGGTGAGACCACAGACCAGGTGAGACCACAGACCAGGTGAGACCACAGACCACAGACCACAGACCAGACCAGACCAGACCAGGTGAGACCACAGACCACAGACCACAGACCAGGTGAGACCACAGACCAGACCAGGTGAGACCAGACCACAGACCAGGTGAGACCACAGACCACAGACCAGACCAGGTGAGACCACAGACCAGTGAGACCACAGACCACAGACCACAGACCAGGTGAGACCACAGACCAGGTGAGACCACAGACCACAGACCAGCCACAGACCACAGACCAGTGAGACCACAGACCACAGACCACAGACCAGGTGAGACCACAGACCACAGACCAGGTGAGACCACAGACCACAGACCAGGTGAGACCACAGACCAGGTGACCACAGACCACAGACCAGGTGAGACCACAGACCACAGACCAGGTGAGACCACAGACCACAGACCAGGTGAGACCACAGACCACAGACCACCACAGACCAGGTGAGACCACAGACCACAGACCAGGTGAGACCACAGACCACAGACCAGGTGAGACCACAGACCACACAGACCACAGACCAGGTGAGACCACAGACCAGGTGAGACCACAGACCACAGACCAGCACAGACCAGACCACAGTGAGACCACAGACCACAGACCAGGTGAGACCAGACAGACCACAGACCAGGTGAGACCACAGACCACACAGACCAGACCAGGTGAGACCACAGACCACAGACCAGGTGAGACCACAGAATGAGACCACAGACCACAGACCAGACCAGTGAGACCACAGACCACAGACCAGGTGAGACAGACCAGACCAGTGAGACCACAGACCACAGACCACAGGTGAGACCACAGACCAGACCAGGTGAGACCACAGACCACAGACCAGTGAGACCACAGACCACAGACCAGACCAGACCAGGGAGACCACAGACCACAGACCAGGTGAGACACAGACCAGACCACAGACCACAGACCACAGACCAGGTGAGACCACAGACCACAGACCAGGTGACCACAGACCACAGACCACAGACCAGGTGAGACCACAGACCACACAGACCAGGTTGAGACCACAGACCACAGACCAGACCACAGACCAGGTGAGACCACAGACCACAGACCAGGTGAGACCACAGACCACAGACCACAGACCAGGTGAGACCACAGACCACAGACCAGGTGACACAGTGAGACCACAGACCACAGACCAGGTGAGACCACAGACCACAGACCAGGTGAGACCACAGACCAGGTGAGACCACACAGAGACCACAGACCACAGGTGAGACCACAGACCAGACAGACCAGACCAGTGAGACCACAGACCCACAGACCACAGACCAGGTGAGAGACCACAGACCACAGACCACAGGTGAGACCACAGACCAGGTGAGACCACAGACCACAGACCACAGACCACAGACCAGGTGAGACCACAGACCACAGACCACAGGTGAGACACAGACCACAGACCAGGTGAGACCACAGACCACAGACCAGGGTGAGACCACAGACCAGGTGAGACCACAGACCACAGACCAGGTGAGACCACAGACCACAGACCAGGTGAGACCACAGACCACAGACCAGGTGAGACCACAGACCAGGTGAGACCACAGACCACAGACCAGGTGAGACCACAGACCACAGACCAGGTGAGACCACAGACCACAGACCAGGTGAGACCACAGACCACAGACCACAGACCAGGTGAGACCACAGACCAGGTGAGACCACAGACCACAGACCACAGACCAGGTGAGACCACAGACCACAGACCACAGACCACAGACCAGGTGAGACCACAGACCAGGTGAGACCACAGACCACAGACCACAGACCATGGACCAGGTGAGACCACAGACCACAGACCAGGTGAGACCACAGACCACAGACCAGGTGAGACCACAGACCACAGACCACAGACCACAGACCAGGTGAGAGCACAGACCACAGACCACAGACCAGGTGAGACCACAGACCAGGTGAGACCACAGACCACAGACCACAGACCAGGTGAGACCACAGACCACAGACCAGGTGAGACCACAGACCACAGACCAGGTGAGACCAGACACAGACCACAGACCACAGACCACCCAGGTGAGACCACAGACCACAGACCAGGTGAGACCACAGACCAAGACCACAGACCACAGACCAGGAGACACAGACCACAGACCAGGTGAGACCACAGACCAGGTGAGACCACAGACCACAGACCAGGTGAGACCACAGACCACAGACCAGGTGAGACCACAGACCAGGTGAGACCACAGATCACAGACCAAAGACCACAGACCAGGTGAGACCACAGACCAGGTGAGACCACAGACCAGGTGAGACCACAGACACAGACCAGTGAGACCACAGACCAGGTGAGACCACAGACCACAGACCACAGACCAGGTGAGACCACAGACCACAGACCAGGTCTAGACCAGGATGAGGGAGGGGTTAGGGAGGCAGGTGCAGTGGGGGGACACCTGTCTGTCCCTGTCTCACCTGTCAGTCCCTGTCTCACCTGTCAGTCCCTGTCTCACCTGTCAGTCCCTGTCTCACCTGTCTGTCCCTGTCCCTCAGGTGTCGTCTGACCTGCGCGCCGCTCTGGTCGGGTCCGTGGTCGGGTCCGTGGTCGGGTCCGTGGTCGGGTCCCGGGACGTCCTGGCGCTGTGGGCGGTGGGGGGCGTGGACGTGGCGCTGGAGGGGGCGGAGAGAGGGGCGGAGCTGGTGTGGGAGAGGGGGCGGAGTCTGCTCGGGGCGCTGCAGGGGTCAAAGGTCGGGCAGGTCGCGTCCTCCGGCCTCGACGACCTCCTGACCCGACTGGAGGAGGTCACGGCCACCTACCTGCCCCTGCCCCCCACGCTCAGTAAGTCAGATGCCCTCCCACCGTCTCAGGGGTATTTCCTGTAGTAGTATTAGCAGTAGTATTTTTGCAGTAGTATTTGCAGTAGTATTTTTGCAGTAGTATTTGCAGTAGTATTTGTAGTAGTATTTGCAATAGTATTTTTGCAGTAGTATTTGTAGTAGTAGTATTTGCAGTAGTATTTGCAGTAGTATTTGTAGTAGTAGTATTTGTAGTAGTAGTATTTGCAGTAGTATTCGCAGTAGTATTTGTAGTATTTGTGTACTTCAGGGCTGCAGTGGGAGCAGATGGTTTTGCGTTTGGAGGACGAGGACGAGGACGAGCCCAGTGTTTGGACCCGAGTCCGGAGTCTGGTCCTGTTCCTGGTCCTTCAGGTCCATCACCGCCTCCTGAAGACCCGGGACCAGCTGAGGAGGAGCGTCCAGACCAGCGCCCAGGCCGTGAGTCCCGAGACCGGACTAAGACCGGACTAAGACCAGGACCAGACCAGTGCCCGGGCCGTGAGTCCAGAGACCGGACTAAAACCGGACTAAGACCAGGACTAGACCAGCGGCCAGGCCGTGAGTCCAGAGACCGGACTAAGACCGGACTAAGACCAGGACCAGACCAGTGCCCGGGCCGTGAGTCCCGAGACCGGACTAAGACTGGGTCCAGACTGGGACTAGACCGGGGCCCACGCCGTGAGTCCTGAGACAGGGATTAGACCGGGATTAGACCGGAGCTCAAACCAGGCTTAGACCAGGGTCAGATCTGGTTCAGTTGTGTTTAGTTTTAGTTCTGTCTCAGACTGGGTTTAGATCAGGTTTAGACCAGGGATAGTCCGTATTTGGTCAGTCCTGGTTCAGTCCTGGTTCAGTCCTAGTTCAGACCCAGTTTAGTCCTGTCTTAGTCCTGGTTCTGTGTCTCAGGTGGGTCTGGGTCCAGTCTTGGACTTGGCGGGAGACCTGCTGCGGTCCCTCCGGGGCCTGGTGGTGGCGCTGTTGTACCGGGTGGAGGACCTGAGGGAGGAAGTCCTGGTCGAGATCCAAAGCCGGGCCCTGGCCCTGGTCCAGTACGGTCCGGTCCAGAGAGTCCTGGAGGTGCCGGAGCAGATCCAGAACCTCGTCAGAGACCTTCAAGAACTCAGCAAACTCCTGCTCCAGCTGCTCATCAACGCCACCCCCCTGTACAGCCTGGTACTGCAGGGGGCGGGGACAGGGGGCGGGGACAGGGGGCTGTAGTATTTGTAGTAGTGGTAATAGTATCTGCAGTAGTAGTAGTATTTGTAGTAGTATGTGTAGAATTTGTAGTAGTATGTGTAGTATTTGTAGTAGTATTTGTAGTATTTGTAGTATGTGCAGTATGTGTAGTATTTGTAGTAGTATTTGTAGTATTTGTAGTATTTGTAGTATTTGTAGTATTTGTAGTATTGAAGTAGTAGTTCAGGTGTTGGTGTGTTTCAGGTGCGTCCGTCTGATCAGGACGTCGAGGATTTTTTAAACCAACATGACTTCACCTCAAACAGCTCGTCCCGACGCAGCTCCAACGCCAACGCCAACAGGTGAGCCAACAGGTGAGCCAACAGGTGAGCCAACAGGTGAGCCAACAGGTGAGCCAACAGGTGAGCCAACAGGTGAGCCAACAGGTGAGCCAACAGGTGAGCCAACAGGTGAGCCAACGCCAACAGGTGAGCCAACAGGTGAGCCAACAGGTGAGCCAACAGGTGAGCCAACAGGTGAGCCAACAGGTGAGCCAAACAGGTGACCAACAACAGGTGAGCCAACAGGTGAGCCAACAGGTGAGCCAACAGGTGAGCCAACGCCAACAGGTGAGCCAACAGGTGAGCCAACAGGTGAGCCAACAGGTGAGCCAACGCCAACAGGTGAGCCAACAGGTGAGCCAACGCAACAGGTGAGCCAACGCTAACAGGTGAGCCAACAGGTGAGCCAACGCTAACAGGTGAGCCAACGCTAACAGGTGAGCCAACGCTAACAGGTGAGCCAACGCTAACAGGTGAGCTAACGCTAACAGGTGAGCCAACGCTAACGCTAACAGGTGAGCCAACGCTAACAGGTGAGCTAACGCTAACAGGTGAGCCAACGCTAACGCTAACAGGTGAGCTAACGGTGTTTGTGTTTGTTTTTATTTTGCAGATTTAAAGCAAAAACAATAAAATCACAGTAAATAAAAATCAGTTGCAGGAAAAAACACAATAAACATCCTCAAATAAATAAATATTAAACTTTATCATGAAATATCAAATATTTCCTCAAACTCTTTTTAAACGACGTTTCTGACGCGTCGACGTGAAAACTGAACTCTGCTCGTTTGAACGTGGAAATGATGATTTTGACAAGTTTTGTGTCTTTGAATCTTTATGAATCTTTAAAGTCAAATAGTGAATAATAAAGAGTTTGATCCATAAAAATATAAATGTGATAAATATTAAGAATGTTGAGTTTGATGAATAAATAAACAAACAGAAACAGTTACAATTCACACAAAAACTTTTTGTACCAATAATATTTTGTTCAGAGAAAAAGTGCAGCTCAGACGTTTTTATGACAAACAGGAGGAAATTAAAATATAAAATAATGTAAAATGTCATGTAAAGATTTTTCTGCTGAGTCAGCGTGAGTTTTGATCAACATCGACAAAGACGCCCACGAGTTTGGTGGATCAGACACGACTTTTATCATCTTCATCTTTTATCTTTTATATCAATAATGATATAAATATTTTTTACATTAAGAGATAATTTGTTCATTTTGAATCTTTGTGATAATCAGATAAAGCAGCAGCTTCAGTTTGGTTTATTAGAACATTAAAGTTTGAATTGGGCATAAACATTCTTGGGCTGAGAGTTTGAGATTTAGAACATAAAATGTTTATGTACAATAAAAATAATAATGTTTGTACAATAATGTAGAGTAAGAATAAAAAAGGGCCTAACACGAGCCCTGAGGGACTCCACACTAAACCAGCTCAGACACAAACACTGATAAAAACAAACTGGGATCGATACAAATGTGATTCTGAAGACGCTTCAAAACTGTTTTATGAAAAACAGATTTATTTTATTTTATTTTATTCTGAAGCAGAATTCTGTGATCGACTCGATCAAAACATACAACAAGTAAAATAAGAAACAAATGTCGACGCTAAAGATGCAGACAGTGCAATTTTATTACAGGTGGTGTTGGTACTGAAGTACTAGTATTAGTATTATTAATATTAGTAGTAGTAGTAGTATTTGCAGTAGTATTTGTAGTATTTGCAGTAGTATTTGCAGTAGTATTTGTAGTAGTAGTAGTAGTATTTGTAGTAGTAATTGTGTCTGTCTTCAGTCTGTTCTTGAAGGCGATGGACGGTCGCCCCCGGAGACGTCGGAGTTTGTATTCGTTGGCGTCCCGCGGGGCCCAGAGCCCGGAGCCCCGACGCCAATCAGAAGAACAGGAAGTCCCGCCCCCCCCGCAGGAAGTGCCCGCCCCCCGCCGCCCCTCCGCCACCGACCTCCTGCTCGCCCCCCTCAGGCAGTTTGTGTCCCAGAGTCAGAAAGCCTTCGAGTATCTGACGCCCAACGCCGACGACCGAACCACACCGGACCACGAGGAGGACGAGGAGGACGAAGACGAGGAGGACGAAGAGTGACGGACGGCGACCGACCCACACCGGACCACGAGGAAGACGAGGAGGATGAGGAGGACAACGAAAAGTGACAGACGAGGAGAAGGAAGAGTGAGAGAGGAGTGGAGGAGGTTCAGAGTCATCCATGCATGTTTGAGTAATCTAGTGATCTCCCCCAGGCCCTGTTCAAACCCTCCTCACAGTTGGCTGCAGTACGAGTCTGTACGAGGCTCCGCCCCCTGTATCGTCTCCTGCACCACAACTCTCCAAAAACACACAAACACACAAACACACAAACACACAAAAACACGACACAAACGTGAACACAGCGACGGCACAAACCTGATGTGATGCTCTGAAGGGGGAGGGACTCAGCACAGGGAGCAAAAGGAGGGGGAATAAAGCGTAACAAACATATTATTATTATTATTATTATTATTATTATTATTATTAT